CAAAGTGTCCCGTAGCTATCTTGTGAAACATACTCCAAGTTGGTTTGTGAAAATTGCCTTTAAAATTCTAAGTACATGTTCATATAAGCAGACAAATTTCTTGTTACTAAATAGCTAGATTGAGGTCGTTTCATACTCTGTTTAAGAGAGCGTAAATATGCTAAAGATTACTAAACGACTTTCCTAAAAAACAAACAGAAAAATATAGTTTTTTGGTTCTAAAAAACGAGCGAGATTTATACCTCGACCTCATCGCCTGATGAAGACTAGCAGTATAGCAGTCGAAACGTCGCGATCTGCATCTTAAAGTGACTTCATCGTGAGAAAAACGAAAGAAAAAAATTCATCTATCCTATCTTACACCACGATGAATAATGTACACATCTTTAATGACATTTATACCTTGTTTTCTAAATTTTTCTGCCGTCTTTAAGCGATGGTTAACAGATGATCTCAGAAAAACCAACCACGCCATCCTGTCGAGTATGTGAGTCTGAAGAAAATAGTAAAGAGAGATGTNTTTTCAAAGTGTCCCGTAGCTATCTTGTGAAACATACTCCAAGTTGGTTTGTGAAAATTGCCTTTAAAATTCTACGTACATGTTCATACATTAAGCAGACAAATTTCTTTTTACTCAATGTGTTGGAGTCGTTTCATACTCTGTTTAAGAGAGCGCAAATATGCTAAAGATTACTAAACGACTTTCCTAAAAAACAAACAGAAAAATATAGTTTTTTGGTTCTAACAAACGAGCGACATTTATACCTCGACCTCATCTCCTGATGAAGACAAGCAGTATAGCAGTCGAAACGTCGCGATCTGCACCTCAAAGTGACTCCATCGTGAAACAAACGAAAGAAAAAATTCATCTATCCTATCTTACACCACGATGAATAATGTACACATCTTTGATGACATTTATACCTTGTTTTCTAAATTTTTCTGCCGTCTTTAGCCGATGGTTAACAGACGATCTCAGAAAAACCAACCACGCCATCCTGTCGAGTATGTGAGTCTGAAGAAAATAGTAAAGAGAGATGTATGTACCAATAACCACAGGAATATTGAATTTTCCGAGGGTACATGTGAATAGTTGGAAGTTACAATTGGGTTTGAAAGTGAAAGAGTGAAAGAGTGAAAGAATGTATATCGACGAGGTAAACTGAGAAAATCATTCTACGTGTTATAAAGCAAAGAAAAAAATCCCCCTTACCTTAACCCAGTCAGGTAATTCGATGTTAACGTTCATGTGATAGAATGCAATCAGAAGACATGACACAGCAATGGCACAAACGCACTCGAACATTACAAAGTAGTTAAACTTGCAGAAAACAGGTAATTCTGGGCTCTTGGGCATGCCTTTTAATGCCTAACAAGAGACACAAACAAGTTGATTTAATAAAGAGACAATGACAGTGGAGAGGGACAAATAAAAATTAACACATTTATTTACACACTTTGTGTTTTGGAGCTTGGCTTAATTTAGGAACAAAATGAATGTCTGATATGTAATATATAAATGCGAGGGAAGGTGGCTCATTATATTTCGAAACACGGAGAACACAGCTGAATGAATACGACGCAGATCGGAGACTTTTTGACGAAATATCATTGCCAATATATAAGCATCTGATACTTCCAGAGGCCCACATTAGGGCACTTTGGTTAATATCAGTTCTTACGTGTCCACCTATTGATTATAAGAACACTCCTAGGACGTGAGCAAATTTGAAGATCAGTTGAACAAAGTTTACTAACTATATAAGCATACTGTGATGACGTGATATTTACCCTCAGGTAATTGACCC